CTTAATGTATCTGATGCTTGGCCTCAGGGCCTTGGGGTCTGTGAAAGTGGTAGAGGTGTTTGTGAATAGCATCGTTTTACTTCCTATAAAAAGAATACCAAGCTATCTAGCCACCGAGTGCCTGTCTGTAATCCGTGTTCACGGCTTTTCTCTGCTGTCCAGGCTCCACCATGCACAGCCACCACCTCCCATCCCTCCCACCAATAGCAGAATTTTCTATCACCAAGGATACAGCCATGTAGCCCTTACAGAACCTCCAGCCCCAGCCCCAGCCCAGCCCTGCCCTGAAGAGAATGCAGGCTTGTTGGTCAGAGGGAATACACACACACACACACACACTCTCTCTCTCTCTCTCTCTCTCTGTATGGAGGAACAAAGTAAACAAGTACCCTCATCATTTTGATTCACAATCGGACAGATTCCCACTGCATCAGTGACCCAAAATTAAAGGAGCCTGATGGAGGTGTTGGTAGCAGAATAGCAAGTGATGCTCATGTGGAAGATGTCACATGAGCTTATGCTCCCAAGTCTTTGAGCCTAGGAGTCTGAAGGACAAGAAGCACTCCGTGGAGCATTGTGCACAGAGTCTAATTCTTACTGAATTTTCCCCTGGGTATAGGAACTTACCCTTAGCCAGAGCCTGGCAACCCTTTAATGAATGAAGAATCATTAAATGTGAACTTAGGAGCAATGTCTGGCCTCTCCAAAGGGAACATTGCTTGGACAGCTGGGATTCAAACTGTAGTATAGAAAACAATAACCCCCACTCCCACCCTCCAACCCAACACCTACAGGAAGAAGGAAACAACACTGGGAAAGGTGAGAGAAGGTGAGCAGAGAGGTTGGAAAACAAGAATTTCATATCCTGGAATCTTAGGGAGAGTTTGGACACAGCAGTGGCAGCACCCAATGCCACAACTCACTTGATAGTCACGTGTAGAACTGTGGAAAGCAGATAAAAAAAAACAGACAGAGTTTCATAATATTTATTGATAGGGAGAAGGCATAAGGGTAGCATCCAAGTGGCAAAGTGCTGATGGACAAAGTGCTTTTCCACCAGACTGGATTTACACAACTTTAGAACTCGGTAGGACGTGAGCTAACTGGGCATCACTGGAGACTGAGGAGAGGAAAGGCAAGCATCGAGCCCCAGTCTGACCTTCAGGAACCAGATTACCTGAGGATTTGACCTGAGATGTGCAGGAGCTGGAAATTAACTAGAATTCAGGAAACCAAGAAAAGGTTGATTTCCTGAAAAAAAAAAAAAAAACCAACCCACCACCACCACAACAAAAATTACCTTCAAGGTTCTTACAATCTTTGTTTTACCTTACATATATTTAAGAGTTATTTCACAATTGACTTTCATTTAAGCTGAAAAAGTGAATGTAGACTACCATTAAGCCATCTTTGAAAAGTGTAAGTAGACCAAGCGCTGGCGATTTATGCCTATAATCCTAGCTACTCAGGAGGTTGAGATCTGAGGTTCGAAGCCAGCCTGAGCAGACAAATCCATGACACATTTATCTCCAAGGCAAAAGCAGAGCTGTGGTTCAAGTGGTAGAGTACCAGCCTTGGGCAAAAACAAAACCAAGCAAGAGTGCGAGGTCCCAAGTTCAAGCTCCAGTACCAGCACACACTCACAAAGTTGTCACCAATGAGCCACCAAACATTTAAGCGGGGCGCTCAGCTTATTCAAGCACAGTTCACATGACCCTATGGTTAACTCATGAAACCCTCCCTGTGTAGCTTGAGGAATGTTGTCTTAGAAGAATAAGATGAGTCTTGGCTTGAAGCTACAGGACCCGGTCCTTTTCAGTGGGGTCTGAGATGGACCAAAGAGCCATCTGCAGGATGAACAGAAGCACTGAACTCTTGTTCTACAAGAGTCCTGCTCATGGTGTGATTCCATCCACTCAATTCCTTAGCAGCAGTGCCCTGCTGGGGAGGACAATAGCTTTTCCCTCCCATGGGGAAATGATGTGACTCACTCATTGCCAAAGTCTGGGGCACAGTGTGGATACAAATTCTCATTCTGTTCCAAGAAAAGACTAGTCTGAAGAAAGTTTCAAGATGCTCCTCCATGCCATCTGTGAGGAATAAGGCACTGAGCCTCCGTTGTGTCTAAATTCATCATTTTCCCATGATTCTTGTAGTTCTCAGAGGTGTTTCCACAGAACAATGCTGATATTGTCCTCCTGGTTTGATCCGAGGTTCCTTCAATGGCACAAAAGTTCTGAGAGCCTGCATACCCTACCTGGGAAGCCCAAAATGTGATGGATGTGGTTTGTTGAGTGACTGGGAACCATTCTAACTGTAGGAGCAAGAGCCTTGGCAGAAATGCCACAGCAGAATGCTACATGGAGCTTCTTCAGTTCAAGGAGGCTTGGCTAGCCTGAGACATCCCTATAAATTCAAATGATCAGAAGTGGCCACAGGACACAGGTGTGGAGGGACTGCAACTGACATTGGGAAGAAAGCTAGGTAGGTGAGTGCTTCATAAGAACTGCCAGCTTTCTTTGACTCAGCGCTGTTTGCAAGTTTGGCTTTGTGAGAAGCAGCTTCAAATCTAGAGTGGAGGTTCCAGAGAAGGCTTCCTTCGTCTAGATCATTTGCAATGAAACATAGGTCCACCTTCCCCAATACATAATAGAATAGTGTGCCTCGGATGGGCTGGGGGAACTTGAATTATACTGAGGAGGGGAAGTGGAAGGAACTTCTACATTTCCCTGGAATTACCCACACATCCGCTGGAAAAACCAATGGAATGGAAAAGAACTCTCACTCCATATCAATACAGCCTCATCACTAACCCATTCCGTTTTCCAATACATTGAGAACTCTTAGATTGTGGTAACTCCTGAAACAAAGAAAACGATTATATATTATCTTAAAAATTCATGGGCATTGCCAGTAATTAGGATGCAATAACTTAAATGGAAAAAAAAGATTTTTAGAACCTTTGGTGGGTTTTATTAGTAGTACTAATTTTTCAGTTCTGGCTTTGGGTATTCTGTGTGTAGCTTCAGTGTTGCAAGAGGCTTTCTATTATAAATCTCATATTGTTTGTTTTGAGTTGGGTTGGGTTGGGCTGCCCCTTGACAATTGGTCCTTGGTAAAACTATGGGTCAATTATATAGATTTCCTTATTAACACTTAAAACATCAAACTCAGTAATCCACCAAGAGAGTTTGAACCATGAACCAGAAGACAACAGCACAGCCAACAGCCTGCCCAATGCACATTCTTGACCAGCCCACACTGTTTATAGAATTCTATCAGCAGAAAAAGATCTAAACCAACATGAGACATTTTTGTTCCAATTCCCTTTTGGCAACAGTGTTCCAATGAACTGACCCTGCTATGCCATATGACTTATTTTTTTCATGTACCTATGAACACAACATGCAAGAAAGAAAAGTGACTAAAAATCAATGAGGCTGGCATGGGAGGAAATTGCTGATGATGGAGGTTGTTGTAAGACTTTCAGTGTGAGCCACAGATCGGGACCCCCACAGCCAGCACTTGGAGGGGGTTTCCCTCCACAGCTGTTATTTGTGCTCTAGTCATTTCTGGTGATCAGGGGACACCAAGCGACCAGCAATGACTGGAATGGAGGTGGGAAGGAGCAAGGCACAGCTATGGAGCACAACCCAGTGAAAGAACAAGTGAAGTTCTGCACAAATAACAACTCCGTTAGAAACTGCTTGAAAAAAATAATCACAAAAGACTCATCGAGAGGAATGAGGGTAATTGTTGGACATTGACCAAATGTTTATTTGGAATGACACAGCACTGAAACGTAATCTTTACAGATGATTCATGAATACAGTGTACATCACTTATTTTCTTTTAGGATGTTCTATGGAGGTGAGTTTGCATAAATAGAAAGAGGTGGAAATAATATAGGAGCTTTTCTTTTTAAATAAGTTCTTTTTTTGTAGGGGGAGGGGTAGATTCATATGCCCCATCTTCTAGCCCATCTCATAAAGGCAGAAGCGAAGACCACATAGCTGCTGGTTCAAGGCTAAACTTCCTTCCACCCCAGCAGATGGACAAGCTGCCTAACCAGGCTTTGCTCTGTCCAAAGGGGCAGCAGCTTGAAACTGCCATCATCTTGGAAACTGCACACAACAAACACAGATACTGTCGACTGTTTTGGCAATGAGATGGCTGGTTTTGCCCGCAGGCAAAACCGCAACTGTAATGCCAGACAGAGTAAGAGCAACGCAAGTCTCAATGACACTTGAGAGGCAGAAAGCTACAATGGAAGAGGAAGGAAGGAAGGAAGCACCTATGTATATTTGTCTTGTGCATACACATAGGTGTAATGTCACAGGGATTAGCTTGTGTGATTGTGTGTCCATATCTATGTATAGAGAAGCAAGTTTGGAAAAGACCATTGAAAACATTTTCAGCAGTATAATCTGAGACGCAGTAAACCTGAAAAGGAGAGGGGGGGGATAGGGAAAGACAGAGACAGGAGAGATAGAGAGGAGAGGGAGAGGGGGGGAGGGAGGGAGAGAGGAAGGGAGAGAGAGAGTGCGCAAGAGCAAGAGCAAGAGCCCACGTGCTCACACCTGGGCAGGGGTAAGATAACCTTGTACTACAGAACACTTCAACACATCTTCTGGGGTGGCCACTGTGTACCACACTGTCGGTGCAGAGGAATGAAGGGTTGGGCTGGAGAAAACTACTGGAGACCTGACTGGAAAGGGGATCAAGTACAAGTACCCACAGCTCAGACAATCACAGACTTGCTATTGACCACATGGGAACAAACTGAAGACTTTTGCCTTCATTTGCTTTTTTGTTTCCTCCCCTCTTATATATATATATATTTTTTTTTTCCCACACATGCTCTGAGGATAGGTCTTCTCAAGCTTTGTCTGGCATCACTGTGGAAGTTATTCCGCATGTGATAGCAAAAGTGAACTCATCAGGATTTCATGGAAGGTTCCAAACCCAGTCACGAAGCTCCTTCTATAGTACCTGCAGCTCTACTCCAGGCGCCGGGTGAAGTTTTCGGGAAAGAGACCTTTGTAAGTGGCCAGGTCTCTGTACTGAAGCCAATCCGACTCCTTCACCCCCACGAGCCAGCCTGCATCCTGCAAGACAGCAACACATATACACAGCACAAGAAAGGATTGAACGCACCCACATTGCCAAAGTATAATTGGGCAGGAAGGCTTGTCCCAACTAATTTAGTCAAAAAAAAAAATTAAACTATAGCCATTTGCAACAATTCATTTACTCTATGAAGTATAGCTCCTTGAAGATTATCCTTCTATTGTGGAAGGCATAATGGATGATTAATGGGATTACAAGTTCTTTTTTATTTAGTTGTAAATTTAGTTTTTATTAAACATTTAAATAGTTGTATACTAAATGTTTTATTTAAGTATGCTAATTAAATTATTACTTAAATAGCTGTTTAAGGTAGATTCATGCATACAATGTTTTTCTTGTTTTAAATTATTAAAAATCTTTAAGTAGTATATACAAAAGAGTGTCAGTTGAACATGTCAGTTATGAGTACAAGGCCTCTTGATCAGTGTCAGCCCTTCCATCCTTCTTACCTCATCTCTCCCGCCTCACCCATCTCCTCAAGTTTCCTAGCTCCATTTCATCTATGTTCATTACGTAATACTAGTTCTTCAATAAAAGGGATTCTAGGTGAAACCATGGCAAGCAAAACATAGCCTGCCATCTTGTGGGTCACAGCAAAATAAGGTTCAGGGTTCTAAGGTTAGAATACAGTGCTGAGGCAGCTCCGGAAAGTCTTGCTTATGGCCTCATGGGTCACATTTAAGCTCAGGAAACCACCTTCCTGCTCTTACAAAGTATTAAGAACTATCTTTGTGCTTGATGGAATTGCTGTGATTTCTCTTATTAATAACTGATTCTTCCATTTTGTTTTCTTTTTAGCAACAATAATGGTCTCAACTCAGAGACTCACATTCACTTAGGTAGACACTCTAACACTTTAACCATGCTTTTGGCCTTGGTTTTGCCCATTTTGAGATAGGATCTCACTTCCCACTCAGGCACAAGGTTGAGCCTTTATCGACATACTTTAGATTTCCCTTTGCTGCTGGGATTACAGGTGCGTGCAATGACTTTGTGAGCTTCTTTCTGTGGAGACCAAGTCTCATTCACTTTTATGCCCAGGATGGTCTGGATCCTTGATCTTCCCAATCTCAGCCTCCCACGTAGCTTTGAATGACAAGCAAGTACCATTCTTCCTAGCTATGGGGGTAAGAAGGGGTCTTGCAAACTTTTTTTCCCAGCTTGGTTTCAAACTGTGATCCTCCCAAATGGCATGAGCTACCAGCACCTGGCTCCTGATTTTTCAAGTAAACTATCAAGTGGTTTAAAGATGTGGCATTTTTGTTAGAGACATTTGTATGTTCTTTATAAATTAGCATTTGTGTCATACAGGAGTGCCATCACACACACAAAACGTGGCATAAACCACAGAAAGGTTGAAGAACACATTCATGGATGGCCGAACAGAACAGGAGATCATACATAAAACTGAGAAGCAGAGGGCTGGGATGTAGCTCAGTGGTAAAGCGTTTGCCTAGCAAGTGCAGCGTCCTGGATTTGATCCCCAGTACAAAAAAAGAAAAGACAAAATAAATACAGTTAAAAAAACCCAAACAAAAAACCCCTGAGAAACAGAGACTTCTGTCTGTTCTTATTCTGTGGAAGAAAACCAGCATCAAGCTGGAAATGGCTGAGTTGGAAGATATATTTGGATTCATGGGGAATGAACAAAGTCAAACCTGTGGGAAATGACTGACTTTTTATATTACCCAGTACAGGAGAAAGACCCCACTTTGAATGAAGGATGGTCATATTTCATCTGAACCAATGTTCAATACAGTTCAATTACATCAGATAAATGGGGTCTCAAAAATTAAATAAAGAGCTGTATAGTCCCCTTTGATAGACTCCGAAACCATAAATTGCCTTTGCCATATAAAAAAGAAATATAAGAGGTAGATAGATCAATTTTTTAAAGAGGAGAAAAAAGCAATGAGAGAAAATGACCCAATAAGATGACTGATGGTATCTTCTTAGATAAAAAACAACAACCTGTACAACTGCAAGGTCACATGCATGAAGGATAAATTTATACTTACAATAAAAGATGATCACTAAATGCTTTGTGAACCTGCTGTATGTATATAAAAAGTCATTTCTTCCCCTAATAAGTGTCTATATTTGATTTCATTTACAGGGAGTTAAAAAAATGTAGTGAGTCTAAGGAGAGTCAAACATTTTAAAATTGTTTCAATATAGACAAACAAGAGCTTGCACAAACCCATAATCAAGATCTACTCCAACATGTGTACCCTGAAATATCACATAAGTTATATAGCAGAAAATGTTAGCCAGTATAAATATTGAGTTGAGTAGAATTAAATTTTAACAGCTTAAAATGCATAACAGACAAAGATGTCCAGTTTAGCTTGTATCAGACAAATGTGTCTATGCAGAATAATTAGAAATACTAAAATAACTATATATGTCCACATACATAGACTTGAATATATTAATCTATATATAGCCAACTATTTGTTATAAAATCTGCAATATAAGATGCAAGCTTATGTATGAGGTAGGGACAAACCAGAGTCACAACTATTTGAAGGCACTAAGAAGGATTACAAGCAGGCTGAGATTGGGGATTATTTAACGTGTTTTTCCTCAATCATGTTCTCAGTCCATGTGATAGAATTCCATGGACAGAGCCTAGGGGAGCTGAGCATCTCTGCACTGATGGCAGGATATCTCATAAAGAAGGAACTTCCAGGGGCAGCCCCAACTATGCAGAGAAACTTCCCTGGGTATCTGTTTTGAACTCTGACTTTGCACCTAGATCCTAGTGGAAAATCAATAGTAGGATGCCTTACAAAGCTTAATAAAGATATAAGCACTGCCAGTGGAGTTGGGCCAGGTTTAGAGTTTGAATCTAAGTACTACAGGTGCTTTCTACCGCAATTCCTTCCTGCTTTAGAGGTGAAGACAAGGGCCCAGAAATAAAAATTTATGCAAAGATCAAAGGCACCGGCGGGAGCAAAATATAAAACAAACATCTACAAAGTTAAAGTAACTATCTTATAATGTAAATGTTAGTATAAAAAGTAAACAATCTTCAAGACAGGTGCATGTGGTACATGCCTGTAATCCTAGCTACTCAAGAGGTTGAGATCTGAGGATCTTGGTTCAAAGCCAGCCCAGGCAGGAAAGTCAGTGAGATTCTTATCTCCAATAAACCACTAGAAAACCGGAAGTGGTGCTGTGGCTCAAATGGTAGAGCACTTGCCTTGAGCTGAAGAGCTGAGGGACAGTGCCCAAGTCCAGAGTTCAAGCCCCACGACTGACTAAAAAAATAAAAAAAAAGTAAACAATCTTCATATGTAGGAAAGAGAGCCAGGCCTGGGAAGGTGGCTCAGTGGTAGAGTGATTGCCTTGCATGCATGAGGCCCTGGGTTCAATTCCTCCGCACCACATAAGCAGAAAAAGTTGGAAGTGGAGCTGTGGCTCAAGTGGTAGATTGCTAACCTTGAGCTGAAGAGTTTGAGGGACAGCGCTCAGGCCCAGAGTTCAGGCCTCATGACCAACAAAAAGAAAAAAGAAAAGAAAGGAGAGCCCAGACTTTATAGTGTATTGTCTACCAACTATGTCCAGCATCAATAGAAATACTACTTAGCCATGGGTGAAAAACAGGAAAATACAATTCCAGAGATAAAAGGCAACAAATAGAACTATGTCCTATAATGTTCCACATTTCAGTAAGAAATGTACAGAAGCTGAGATAAATATGTTCAAGAACATACTCTGGGAGATAGTAATACTGAGAAAATAGATGAGAAATGTCAGCAAAGAAAAAGAAACTATATAAAATAACAAGAAGGAAATTATAGTATTGTTTAAGTATTATATGAGTGGCCTGGGATGGCCTCCACAAACAATCTTCCTGTTCTCAGGCTCCCAAGTATCGAGAATTACAACAGACTAGAAGTAGCAGATAAGAGAGTCATGGTTTAAGAAGACAGATCAACAGAAATTTTCCAGGCTGACTTCAATAGTAACATTAATGTTGATTGATAAAGGACAGAATCTTAGGCATTAAGAGATCTATGTAATATACTGGAAAATCCACAAAGCGAAAAGGTAGAACATAATGTGGAAAAGAATGGAGTAGGAGCTAAAAGATTTCCAAATGGAATAAAGTGAAAACTGCATGTGAAAAGTACAGTGAACATTGCATATGAAATCACGCAAAATAATTTTTAAAAGCCAAACACATCTTACTCAAATTAATTAATTCACAACCATAAATACAGAAGTATTCTCTGTATTAAAAAGTTAACATGGTATAAGGAGAAATATTATTAAACAAATGACAGCTGACTTCCAATTATAAACAGAAAAGACCAAAAGACAATGGAAAAACCTCTTGACGAGATGACAGAAATAAAGGCAACCTAGAATTCTTTACATATAAAAAAAAACTTTAAAAAATGTATATAAATGAAGAGATTTTCACACAGACTGAAGTGGAGGGGATCTGTTGCCAACTGTTCTGTATTATAGTAAGTACTAAAAAAAATTTGAACAGAAATTTTAAGCACAGACTCACATATTTGTAGAAAGCAATGAGGACACTAGAAATAGTAAATATAAAAGGGTACTTTTTTCTTCTCTTCCTAAAGGTAATTTTTGATTCATATAACTATAGAAACATACAATGGATTTTTAATGTTTTTGAGATATGTAGAGATAGCAATGTTTTTGCCTATTTTAGTAATTTATGCCTTATTGCTCTTTTCTTAAAAAAAAAATTCTAGGGGCTGGGAAGGTGGCTCAGTGGTAAAGTGCTTGCCTCGCATGCATGAGGCCCTGGGTTCAATTTCTCAGCACCACATAAGCAGAAAAAGCCAGAAGTGGTGCTGTGGCTCAAGTGGTAGCGCACTAGCCTTGAGCTAAAGAGCTGAGGGACAGCGCCCATGCCCCATGACCGACAAAAAAAAAAAAAAAAAATCTAAGATTTTAATGATAATAATTTTATTAAACTTTACAAGGAACCAACTTTTTGGCAATATTGACTTTCTAAATTGTGTGTTTATGACTGTATTAATTTTCATCCAGGAGAATTTAATCATTTATTGATCACACATAGGGTTCATTTTATCTGGTAGCATTCATTATTCAACTCATGATACAGCACAGAATGTGAAATTATTTTTTATTTCTTCCTTTCTAGGCACTTTCTATTTAATTAATTTTAATTAATTTTCTATATTCTTATTTAAGTTAATGATCATTATGAAACTTGTGACAAATGGATTGCTTTCTAAGTGTATTAAGTATTTAGTGCTTGTAAAGATATTTTTGTTGATTTCTAATCAGGTTTTATAGTGATAGTGACTATTTGGTTGTTTAAGTTGCACTTGCAGTATGTTTATACTTGATATTTTTAAAAGAAAGAACAAAATGTTGGGTATGGAAGTTGAAAGTTGTGATGCTTAAATCATAAATCTCTTTTAAAATAATATGGAAATTACAGCTCTTCTTTCCAGAAAAAACTGCTCATAGACTCATTTATTCACATGTTTTATATCATTTTAAAAGTTTACAAATCAAGAGCAGGGGCCAAAGGCTTATGCCTACAATCCTAGTTACTCAGCAGGCTAAGGTCTGAGGACTGGGCAGCAAAGTCCATGAGACTCTTATCTCCATTTAGCTACCAAAAAAGCCAGAAGGGGAACTATGGCACAAGTCATAAACACTAGTCATGAGCAAAAAAACCTCAAGGACAGAGCCTAGGCCCGGAGTTCAAGGCCCAGGCAGACTGGCACCAAAAACAAAAAAGTTCACAAATCAAGGCAGGAACAAATTGGGAGATCACAGCACCTTACCATGAGACAAACCTCTTTGCTGGAAGGCATGTTTATAAGAGTCTCTTTTAAATTTAAATTTAAAGGTTTTATAATGTTGTATTGTTAGGAGTACAGTTCAGTGAGCTTAGAAAAATGCACAAACACACACACACATACACACAAACACTCTCCTACCAAGACAGATGGCCATTTCCATCTCTCCAGAAAATTCTCCCATGTTCTTTCCCAATCAACCTCCCCATCCTTGAGGGCAAGCCTCTGAAGGGGATTTTGAGTTCTTATGACTAGTATCGGCATCTCCTGGAGATGGCACAATACATAAACATCCTTAGGAAGTGATGTTATATCATGAGAAAAGGTCATCTTATAAAAAGGGAGTGATAACACAGCATCCCCCAAGGGCCTTGAAAATCCAGACTAGTCACAACCACTTCAACCCCTCTTAGAGTTGACTTTCAAGAGCTTCCTGTATGCAAGCTGCCCTCAGGGGAAAAATCAACATGACCAGAAGCATGTTCCAAATCTTGTCTTTTACCTGGTCAGCTTCTGAGTCTGAGGGGACCACCAGCACCACGTCACCCCTTTGCAGGTTAAGCTCATCAGAGTTTGCTGCCTCGAAATCATGCAGGGTTTCCACCTGCAACATTTTAAAGGAACAGGTTAACTTTGGAAAGAAAAGATGTTAAAAGAAATCATAGTTGCCTTGTTAAAAAAGACATTCTTAGAAGAATGTTCCAAGGGGCACAGAAAGATGAATATCTACATTGCACCTGCTCTGGGAGGTTTTGTCTCTGGGTTGTCCCTCAAAGGCTCATATGTTGATGACTTGGTCCCCATTGTGGTGATGTGAGAGGTGGATTCTACCAGGAGGGCCTTAGGGGTGCTGCCTTCAGAAGGGATTAATGCAAGTCCCGAGAAGACCTTGGTTAGACTCTGCTGAGCCCTGCCCTACACTCTGGCTTCTTGTTTAGAATGTGATGGGTTCTTGTTGCATGATACCTTGTGTCATGTGATACAGGAAGGGCCCTTTCCTGAGCTTAGCCAGTGCCTGCACTGAGCTCTAAGCATCTGGACCTGTGAGCTACATAAACCTTTTTACTTGATAAAGTATCCCACCTTAGATATTCATTATAATAACAGGAAACAGACTTGTACATGCTCCAAGGACAAAGAGGGCTTCTAGAGACAGTGAGTACTATTCTCTGTTTATTTCAAAACCTTGATTCTTACTAACTCTTATAAGGCTATTTGAATAAATATTTATTAGTACAATGTATTCAATGTAGATTTAAGTTCTAATTTATTAAATTCTAATTCATCATTTGCATTTAGAGATATTGACACTTTATTATTATTTATCACTGAAACTTGAACTAAAAAAATGCCTAGCTGGAAGTTCTTTTAATCCCAGCTTTGTCCAAATAACCAAATATCAGGAAATCTATCACTTTCATCTTACATGAGAATTAGTACCAAACTTTGGGATCACTTTTCTTGTATATAAACTTTCTCTTGTCCCTTTCCTACCTCTTATTCTGTGGCAACCTTTTATTTCCTTCTTAAAAAAATTCTTTAAGCTGCATAACAGTGTAATCTTCGCTTCCTGGGAGGATGCGATTGTGGTTCAAGGCCAGCTCAGGGTGAAATGTTCAAGAGACTCCTTCTCAAGCCATAGCTGGGCACAGTGGTATAAGCCTGTCATCCCAAGCCATGTGGAAGGCTGAGATGGGAAGGATTATAGTGCTAGGCCTGTCTAGGCAGAAAAATCCATGTGACTCCATCTTCATACAGAGAAGCTGGGTGGAGGGGCACACACTTGTGATTTCATCAATGACAGGAAGCTTAAAGTGGGTGCTCCATGGCTCAGGCACATGCCTGCATTGGAAGGGAGGTCCTAGCTCAAAATTATTAAGTGTAAAACAGGCTACAGGTGTGGCTCCAGTGGGAGAGTGCCAGTCTAGCACGCATGAAGCCTTGAGTTCAAAATCCCTAATTACCATCCCCCCAAAAAATCTCTAAAACTTTATTACAAATAAAAGCAGAAAGAGTAACACAATGGCCAGCCACAAACCTATCTCCCAACTTGAATATATAGTCCTGGCCAGTTTTACCTCTCCGATTGTTGGCTTCAGTCCCTCAGAGATTAAGTAATGCTTTTAAAAGGTGGTCTGTTGCATACAGAATCACAAAGTGTCAGAGCTGGCGAGGACTGCCATCCCCCAATTGTCTTCTCTAATGAGGAGACTGATGCCCAGAGACATGGGTTAAGCTATAGGACTGAGTCACATTGAAGCAGTGAGGAAGACCTCAAGTCCAGGCCTCGCAAAGCACAACCGATGAAAGGAAAACAGCCACACACAGCCTCCTAATATGTTCAACTTTTCTCCAATTCATTTACAACTCGACCACATGCTCACCCTTGGTTTGAAGTTACCAAGGTAGCTGTTACTTTCTATAAGATAGAGAAGGGAAGAGGAGGAGAATATCGGAGGGGAGAAGCCAAGAGGGAAGAGGCAAAAGAGAAGAGAAAGAGAGGGGAGGGGACAATAAGATTGTCACTGTTCAATCCCAGCCCCATGAACACGCTCAGATTTTTTTTAAATGTTGCCAGGTGTGAGGTAATGAAGTTTAAATATAAATTACAGAATTGAACATCCCTAACTAGAACCCATAAGGGAACATTACCTGCCTTCAATCTTGGCTAATGCCAGTGTTCTGGTCGTTATTTGTTATTTTGGTAAGGACACCGGTTTATAAAGGTTCTAAGTATCCCTTCTGGGAATAACCTTCTTCGGTGACTGCAGGCTTGTTTGTGTCTTCCTTTTCATAGAAGCCTAAAATCTGTCTTGATTAATTAACTCATTCAATGTACAGCTCTTGCTCTGCTTGTTTTTGGAATATTCCTAGGACTGGTGATTCCTGCTTCCCCTCTGACGTTGCATGGGGGTCTGAGCCAGGCTGGGGGGTCTTTGGAGAACTCACAGGGGGGCTGGAGGGAGTTAACCCACTTTTTACCTAGGGGCACATCTGGTGCCCTCCTTTAGTTCTTTGTTAAAATAAGGAAGGTACTTTTGTATTGCTTGCTGGCTCACAGCAAGGAAATCCTTCTGTTTTCCAAATTGAATTAGGGATGACAGGGAAGTAGTAGGAAGAGAAGATATATGGTGAAAAGAGGAAAAGTAAAATACTAGCAAATCAAAGGTTGCAGCAAGCTGGATGCTGGTGGCTCACACCTATAATCCTAGCTACTCAGGAGGCTGAGATCTGAGGATCATGGTTCAAAGCCAGACCAGGCAGGAAAAGTCCATGATATTCTTACCTCCAAAAAAACCACCAGAAAACCAGATGTGGAGCTGTAGCTCCAAGTGGTAGAGCACTAGCCTCCTTGAGCAAAAAGAGCTCAGGGACAGAGCTCAGGCCAAGTTCAAGCTCCACAACACACACACACACACACACACACACACACACA